ACAGTGATCGGTCAAAGGAATAACAATCATCAAGTGTTTGAATGAACGAAACAGAAATAGTGTATCCCATATACCATCATTGCATCAGATTTACTTATATCATATATAAAAGTGATCGATCTTATTTGTGTAACCTATGGACGATCGATGTATCGCTGCTTCACCATACTAATGTCGGATTCCGAAGCATAGTCAACATCAATCATCCAAATCGTACACAACAGATGCCAAATTTAATTACTCGTTTATTATTCAATTCATTCTGGTTTTAATCGAATCAAAACAGAAAATATAGAACATAAACAACTATCAGATCCATGGTTTCGTAAGTGGCTCTGATACCACTGAAGGAAAATTGCGATCAAAAGCGCAGCGAAATTTAAAATTTTCCTTTAGCGATCCTTACGAATGAACATGGTCAGTGATAGAAATATTTACCTCTTGTGGCGATTCAGACCTTTGATGTTGTGATCACGAGCGTTGATGAAGAACAACGCCTCTACTCAGTCCACACGAACAGATCGCTTCCGGTCACAGTGCTAGCTGATCACGAACGGAAACCTTGAGTGAGAGAGAGAATCAAAAACGAAATTGCATCAAGTGAAATTGCTTCATCACAAGGGATCTATTTATAGAATCACTCGTGTGGGCTACAAGCTAAAAGCCCAATTAAGGCTATAAGCTAAAAGCCCAATTAAGCTTATGGACATCATACCTTATGATGTATCATATATCACTTATCCACGTGGTACCTTACCACTTTCCGTATTACACTTAAGTGCACCGTACCTTACGATGTTCCTTATTTATTCTATCTCTCATCAACCTGTCCTTATGTGTGTGACCCTGTAGGTTTTCGCGACGTTGACAATTATATTAAATCACACATTTAATATAATAAACAGTGAGCGGTATCTAGCAACACATCACTGTTACCCAAGTCACGAAAATGTCATGTGATCTGACCAAACCTTTTCCGTGATAATATTTGTGTTGTACAATTACCCTTTTACCCTCATGTCTATATTGAACACAAGGCATACACTGTGTCACCCTTGTCCAGTTCAATATTTGGGCCCTTAGACATTTATCATGTTATGCAGGATGAGAAAATTCCATCTAGGTCACTCATGTCCCTTAGCATACTTTGTGAAGTACCCATCAACCGTCTTTATAGTCATCCAGTTACGGATGACGTTTGATCAGCAATAAAGTACTTGACTCTACATCTAGGGTCCATAGTGGTTTCAGGTCGAAGAGTGGTATACACCATTATCATCATGAGAATAATTTATGACACTTTGCATAACTTTCTATGTAGTATTCTCATAGCGGGTCAATCCAGTATAAATATTACTCCTAATATTCATACCTATGTCAAGACTTGATAACTCCTTATCTATGATCCATGAGATGTGATCATCAATCTATCTTCATAATAATCTTAATGCTTTAATGTTATCCCACTTCACATTAAAGCTTGACTATGGATACTTTAAGAATAATGTCTTATGTTTAATGGGATCTCATGATTAAGTCACACTTACCATTTCATTAAACAAATAAACCATTCTAGGGACTTTATTATTTTGGAAAGCAAACATAATAAAGAAATGCCTTTTATTATTAATAAATAATTCGATACAAGTACCAAAAGTATTGGTCTCTAGGGCTTACACCAACAGGATTGTGGTCCCTTGTGCCTTTCATTGCCACCCCCTTCACGACACATGTTATCCTTTACTCTTTTGTTTCCAACATTTTCTTAAGCCTTATTTCTCTCAACATCTTCAACCATCAGCTTCTCCTCATAATTGATGTATGGCTAGTCCCGAATAAAGAGACCACCCATGTCTTTTAGTTCCTCTAAACCCGTTTTTTTGAACACATAATCCAGTACCAGTCCCTTCTCAAAGATCCTACACTTTAGTTTGTTGTTTGCTCCTTTTACTTCAACTGTCGCCTTGGTAAACTTGTTTATGTATTCCATAAGTGTTTGCTTCGTCCCCTAATATTTTCCATTAAGAACGACCATTGTCTTTGGCTGGTGTCTCCGTGTTGTAAATTCTGAAGTAAAATCATTGCATAACTTCCTCCATGAACAGATTAAGTTGTCTACCAAAATCTTGAACCATATAACGACGTCTCCCTTGAGGGTCAATACTAATAATTGGTATTTCACTGCACTCATAGACTAGTGATAATCGAGTACATTGTCCACGTGCTCATCAGTGTCTTTAAACCCATCATAACTCTCTAACTTTAATGGTTTTTCTAGAGAATTAGGAATTATGTAGTTGATAATGTGTTTAGTGAACATACTCTTTTTGTGGTGGGTGAAGGCGTGATGGTCGATATTGTGATCGAGAAGATCTCTTCAGAAACGATCTCAGATGACATATGGTTATTATCGTCTCCTAAAGAGTCATGAAAAGGAGAATTACGACCATATGCTGATGACAATGATGTCTTTTTGGAAACGCTCCCGTTCTTTTTGAAAGCGAGACAACATCGATGAGATCGTTCATTGGAGCGACTCCAAAGTGACTGTGTTGTAGTATCTCTAACCGAGTTATGATATGAGAATGGATTTTTTGTTGATTCTCTTTGATACATAGAAGTCTCTTGTTAAAAAGGCTGGTATTTTGCTATTGGACTAAGTTGTAGGTGTTCAACATGAGTTTGTTAGAGTCATATACTCCCATTGTGGCTTGGAGTTGCTAAAGGTTGTGTGACAATTCCAGTCAGGAGGATTGAACTGTTCGTAGGGGAAGAGGATGTTGATATTAATAATGCGGTGGTTGAAGTAAAAAACTAATGCTAACATGAAGGAATTGGAAGAGATTCTCGAGTGACCACCGACTAAGAAGTTAGAACTTGACGCGACACAATAATCAGCGAAATGATTAAGATTGAAGCCTATACATCTTGGTGTCGAGGAGGTTTTTCTACTGTGAGAGTGAGAACTGACGTTGCAATATCTTTAAGCATGTAATGTAAAATATTTATCAGATACCAAAAATGATAACAATATTGCGTTGAGTCGTTGATCCAATCACTTTGAACCCTACCATTTTAGAGACGTAGTTGTAAGATGATAAACAATGATCAAAACGATTATCAAAAGCGCTTACGACCGTCAAAACAACAATTATAAACATTTGTGATAGAGCAACAAAGAAGATCAGAGAAATTTGATGAAAAAATTGTGAGAATCAGAAGATGATTCCATAGATAACACCATTATTTTGTATTGAAACAAAGTAAGTGATATGTAAAAGATGACCACCGTAGAAAGACTAAAGATAGAATATCTAATGTCTTTGTTAATCAGAAAAAAAAGGGTACGTGCAAAGTAACACTCCAACGCTTAAGCCACTATTAGAAATAAATGAAATCATGCGAGTGTATATCAGAAAAACACTTGGGCATGACTTTAAGTCACACTTTTATAGAAATAAATGTGAGTGTCTTTGTTAATCATTGAGTGATCCAACATTAATTATAGAAGACCGTGGAATGTATATCAACGATGGAGATAAAATCAGGCCTTTTGCCAACAAGAAACAAAATCCAAATCCCTTATAAAAATGCCGAGTCTACCTATTATATTATTTGGACTCTCTTAATATCAACAATTATGCATTTATTTCCTATTAACATCTGGTTGACTCGAATTTGTAAGTTTACAATGGTATTCTAAGTGTTTCATGACAAAAGAGGTGGTGAGTGTTGCAAAAGTGTTATAAGTTACGCCTATGAATTTGTATGCATAAGTTGCATAAAATGCAAAATTTTATTCATCAAGATCTATTTGACACCAAAATAAGCAAACTTTCAAGAAATAAGATGTGAATAGAAAGGTTGCCAGCTGAAGCCTAAAAAGAGCACATTGCTTCCCACCAAACTAATTTTCAACTCTGGCGTACAGCATGCATCCATAAACTATTGAAAATGCAAATTTTTAAAGCTGCTGTTACGGATTACCTTGTTAGAGTTCATCTTAATTAAGATGCATTCATATATAAATCATATAGTCCCACAAAAAAAAAAAAACACAAAATGCGAACACATTGTTACAACTACGGAGTTATTACATGATCAATTTTCATACAAACATACAAAATTGAATTGAATTTTAATAGTAATAATAATATTCATGAACAACGCTACATAGTCACAAATCACGACTTTTGAGGTTCAGGCCCCAAAATACCGTTAACCACCGCCGAAGCAACCAAAACACCGAAAACCTCTGCTCCCGCCACCACACCCGCTTGCGCCAACCCCCCAAAACTCACCGCCGTCTCTATCCCCTTCTCAGCCGCCTCCAGTCCTTGCTCCGCCGTCTCCAGTCCCTGCTCCGCTGTCTCCAGTCCTTTCTCCGCACTTTCAAATCCTTCCCTCACAATCTCCTCAGCCTTTTCCTCCGCTTTCTTCAGACTCTTCCGTATACCAAACAGAGGGATATCCTGCGCCAAAGACACCGATTCTTTCGCTGTCAACGCCGTGGACGCCGAGAGAAGAAACAGCATCTCCCTTCGCCCCGGTGTCGGAAACGCCGTTACAGACTTTTTAGCTTGCGCTTTGCATGTAAACGACGTTGAATTGTAAACGACGAAACGGTTACACGAGAGAGCTGGAAACGACGAGATTGCATATCCAACCATTGCTCCCAAAAAAAATACACTGATCCTCTTAGCTTGTGGCTACTAATTCTTCATTCTTCATTCTTCTACACAATACGAAAATTTATTATTACCAAAATACCCTTTCTTAATCAATGGTTTCTATACTGACACGTGTAAAGTACAAATCGGTAACCGGTTCGGGTTCTATTCGGATTCGGGTTTCTTATTTCTTTTTCATTTTTCATTTCTCACTGTCTGCGCTATATAGCATTTCTCTGAACAAAACCCCAAAACCCAAACCCTTGTTGAGCGAATTGAAGAAATCTCAACTTTTCTTCTTCTCTGAAGTGAAATTTGCAGAAGATTACTATGGTTGAAGAAGCTCCTACTGCATCCGAGACTTCCGTTACAATGCCTCAAACTGTGGAAACTGTAACGGTCGTCGACGAAACCCTAATCCATGGCGACAAGAACGGAATCACTGTCAACGCTGCCGTGGATTCCGCCGCGGTGTCGGAAACTTCTGCTCTGGTGTCCGGTAGCGATGGTCAGAAGTCTCTGGACATGGCTGTTGAGTTGATGGATAAGGGAAACAAGGCTATGAAAGAGAACGATTTTGCTGAGGCAGCTGATAACTATAGCCGTGCTCTCGAGATCAGGTTCAGTTTCTTTCTGCATTAACCTAAGCTAACGAGATTGTTTGTTGAGCTGCTTCTCTTTGATTGGTTTATTTCGTTGTAGATTACTATTGCAATATCGGTTTTGCTGGTTTAATTGTTCATAAGCTTTAAATTTGATCTTTAGGTTAAATATTGAGAATTGAGTTGGAAACAATTTTACTTAGAAGTTCACGTTCTCAGTGTTAGGTATGGATTAGGCACACTCTACTCGAGTTCAAACCCAGTTTCACTCAAAATTAAGTAGTTTTACCTTTCAAATTTGTGAGCATTGTGTCAAAACAAATCTTCACTACGATACTATCTCGTTTGGTTTTCACTAGTTGACTTGCATAGCTCTGCTTGGTTGGTTATTGACATCTTTATTCTCAAAAGAGCATCCAATTATTCAGTGGAGAGTTGTCAAATTCTGCATTATCACGGTTTAAGAATATTAATTGATGGAATGAAATTATGTTTTCTTTTAATATTTGAAATATGTCGGTGAGTGTTATGGATGGCATTTTACGTCAAGTTTTCAACTATGCTTAGTTATCATAGTCCATAGAGTGTTATGGATGGCATTTTACGTCAAGTTTTCAACTATGCTTAGGTATCATAGTCCATAGAGATTTCAGAAATGCCTTGGATTGATATGTATGATGTAGTTTTGCACTGAACTAATAGGAAATTTTGATACTTTCATATTTTAATCCTACCAGCTGAATTATTATTTTCGTCAAACCAACCTGATACAATTATAGGACCCATGAACAAATCACTTGCATGTCCACAGAAAAACGTCTAAATATATTCTAAACTTCATTTTGCTCTACTCAGTACTTACAATGTTCTGAATGAGTTTTAATTAACAGAGTGGCCCATTATGGTGAACTTGCTCCTGAGTGTGTCCACACTTACTACAAGTATGGCTGTGCACTGTTATACAAGGCTCAGGAGGAAGCCGATCCTTTGGGTGCTGTTCCCAAGAAGCAGGATGGTTCCCAACATGGCTCTAATAAAGAAGGACCTGTGAAGAGTGCTCTGAATGCTGAATCCTCCACTGCATCTTTTCCAAGCAATGCTGAGCAGGATGTGACTTCAAATAACCCGGAGTCAGAAGTGGATAATGGTCAGTGCGTTGCTTCACAAGGAATGAGAACATTTTACTAAATTAGTTATTCAAAGCATGTATGATATTAGTGTGCCGCTGCAGTCTGTGTTATAGTGCCTTCCACTCATCAGTCATTGCATATAAGAGAAAGTGTTTCATGGCATTGTTTTTAATGAAAGAGTAAATATGTGATGTTCTTTATTCTCTGTTTCTGTGGACATGAGTTACCTTGATTTATGAACTTTTCACTCAAGAAAAAGGAAAGCAAAATGTTCTTAGTTTTTGTGTCGTAATCAAGTCACTTTTTCCTTCTCTTTGATACGTGTGCATGGTTATCACTTATTATGGGGTTTAAAATGACTCGTGAGTCTGTGGCATGTGTGCACCAAGTCTGTGGCATGTGTGCACCAAGTCTGGGATTCAAATGCATTGTATGCTGGAAACTGGTGAACACTACCTTCTGAATTGTAGGGACACGAGTTACCTTGATTTATGAACTGTTTACTCAAGATATGGGGAAGCACAATGTTTTAATTTTGTGTGTTCTAGTCTAGTCACTTTTTCCTTCTCTTTGACATGTGTGCATGATTGGCTTTTATTGTGGGGTTTAAAATTACTCGTGAGTCTGTGACACGTGAGAACCAAGTCCGTAGCATTCAAAAGCACATAGTTAATGCATTTTATGCTGGAAAGTCGTGAACACTATCTCCTGAATTGTAGGGAGTATAAACTTTGTTTCACAATGTCAACTATTCTAACCAAATTTACAATAGCTAGCAAAGATCATTGTTTGATTGTAGATTAAGTGCATTATTTCATACGCTTTTCTCTGCAAATTTATGATTTCATAATCAGTTAGCTGTAGTCTGCATAGAAAACAATTTCTCACTGTTAGTCATGTTCTTTTGAAATGTGAAACAGTGTCTGGTAAGAACGACCAGCAAGATGATGAGGATAGTGACGCCGAAGGCTCGGCAGAAGATGACGAAGATGAGTCTGACTTGGACTTGGCTTGGAAAATGCTTGATATTGCTAGAGCCATTGTTGAAAAGCAATCTGTCAGTACTATGGAACAAGTGGATATATTGTCAACATTGGCAGATGTTGCTTTGGAAAGAGGTATTTTCATGTTCTTATGTTCATTTTAAATTTGGCAAATGCTTTCTTCTCCAAACACAAAAAAAGGTGGATATGATTATTCTAAAGCTGTAATTCTTACTGGGATCTGTTTTTACAGAGGATTTTGAAACATCTCTCTCTGACTACAAGAAGGCACTATCCATCTTAGAACAGCTGGTGGAACCTGATGATAGAAATATTGCTGACTTGTATCCTTGTCTTAATTCTTATTTGGATGGAAATTATATTACTTATTTTAGGCTTGGTATTCCACTGCTAGACAACCTTAACTTGTGAAATAAGAAATTTCCGTATATGCTTGTGTTTGGAGGTTGGCTCTAGGCCTGAAGAAGCTATTGCTTATTTAGAGAAGGCTACATCTGTTTGTAAGGCACGTTTACTTCGTCTCACAAATGAAGTAAAGAGTTTTTCAGATTCTACATCTCCTGCATCCAAGTTAGAGCGGGATGAACTAACATGCCCTGGATCTGAGTCTAATAACTCAATTGTGGATAAACAAGCAGAAATTGAAACTCTCACAGGTCTCTCAAGTGAGCTGGAAAAGAAGGTAGATCTCATTAAAAAAAGTTATGAGGCCTATTTGTCACGTGTTATTTTGATATAACTGTTGGATATATGGAATTGCAGCTTAAAAAAAGTTATGAGACCTATTTGTCATGTTATTTTGATATAACTGTGAATATTTGGAATTGCAGCTTGATGATCTACAACAGTTAATCTCAAACCCAAAATCAATTCTCGCTGAGATCCTAGGAATAGCAGCTGCCAAGGCAGGCAATGGAAAGGAACCATCTCAAGGAAGAGTGAGCTCCACACAGTTGGCTACTGCCCACAGCAGTGGAGGTTTTGACTCCCCAACCTTTTCAACCGCTCACACCAATGGATCTGCTGGAGTCACACACCTTGGTGTGGTAGGAAGAGGAGTTAAGCGATCATCAAATACAAGTGTGGCAGAAGCTGGCATACCCAAGAAACCAGCATTAGAAACAACCGAAGACAAAGGCGATGGTGGCAACGCATGATGTATACTGGTCTCAGCTCTTTTGTATGGAGTGTGCACTGTCTGAACACTGAATGTTACCATACAGTTTGGTGACTCTTTGAATTATGGATCGGACAAATTCTTGCAAGTTCCATGATTGACTACTGATTTCAGGAAAGTGTTATGCCATATTATTCATTATTGTAGGTTGATGTGTAGCTAACTGATTTTGTCACATGTTTCTAAAGACTGAAATGTAACACCCTCAAAAACTTGTAACACTGTCCATTATATGCATGTTCGATTAGGGTTAGTTTGGTGAAAATAGGGGATGGATTGAAAAGGATTTTTAAACGGAGGAAAGAGGGATAATGAAGGGAATTAAGGGATTTTAAAATGTGGTGGTTGGTTCAATGAGAGGAAAGGTTGAATTTTAATGGAGGAAAATGTAAAATAACATTTTTCACTTGGATAAAGTTAAATTAAAATATGGGAGTATTTTAGTAAAAAAATTAAGCGAATTTTCTATTCCAAATTTCCCCTTTGGGAGGGGAACTAAAATTACCTCAATAGATTTTGCTCCCCTCTTTATTTTGAAAAAGAAAAATTCCAAATTACTGAAATTTAAAATATTTCCATTCTTTTTCTTTATTTCCCTTCAACCAAACACATTTTTACACTGTTTGGAACGAGTCACCCAAAGTGCTGATTGGGTCATGAGAGAAAGTAAAGTCCGAATGAGTGACCCAAAGTGCTGATTGGGTCATGAGAGAAAGTAAAATCCACTGTTTGGAACGAGTCACCCAAAGTGCTTGGGTCATGAGAGAAAGTAAAATCCAAAGTTTGTTCCACGCCGTTTGTTTTCGTTTGTTTTAAAATAAATTTCGTTTTAATAAGTAAAATTTATTTTCAATAGACTGAATGTCACTGTTTAATGTAGCAATAATCATATTTTTTTTCAATTGTGTTTTTTATTATTATATTTTATATTATTTTTAATATTTTGATAAAATTAATTTAATAAAAATGTAATATCTTATAATAATATTATTTTCTGTGGGTAAAAATCTTAATCGAAAAAGAGAGTATTAAATAAGAAAAAGAATGAAAGATTGGTCTAGCGTGACATTAGCTTAAAGGCTATCGTCCAATTTGAGGCGTAAATCATATTACCTCCTCTCTTAATTATAATTTAAAGTGTAGTAATTATTTTTCTTAAATATATCTTTAATTATATTAAATCTTTTTCTGCAATGTGCAATAAATGCGAATGTTTTCTTTAGTAATAATTATGTTTAAAAAAAAAAACACAAATAATTATATTTTAGAGAAAATTATTATCCGTGGATTTTCTTGCAGGTTTGACATTACTTGCAGATTTTCCTACGGAATTATCTGTGGGAAAATAGTCCGCAAGTAAATCTGTAGGAAATGTCAAATCTACAGAAAAATCCGCAGGTAAATAGAAATTTTAAAAAAATTAAAGAGATGATTCTGTGTCATCTCATTTGATGTCTCCTTTAAAAAAATCAATACATACGCTATCTGAGATGGTTACTGTACTATGATGTTTTCTAAAATTTGGTTATTTACATAAATGTCTCTTAATCATAATCATTTGTGTATTGTTTTTCAAAATATGGTTATTGCTAAAAAAATTCAATAAATACACTTGTATAAACATTAATTATTTATCTCTCTTAAATAGTTAATACATTTAATATTCTAAACAATTTTTTTTAATTAGCACAATTTAATCTACGGAATCTTATATTCAAGAATAAAAATAGTATTAAAATATAAGAGCATAGAAATTTCTTGAACTTTTAATGGATAACTAATCGCTTTATTTCACCAGTGAAACGGCAAAATGGATTCTAGAACCGATAAAATCTAAGTCTCAAAATAGGGATTCTAATGATTTAGAATAAAATCCAATACAAATGAGAGATAAGTGAGCATAATATTGAATGAGAGAATTTGAGCAAAGAAGATAATTTGTTGAATGTTTTAAATACAACTATCAAGGCTAAAAAAGTAATTCCTGTAACAATACCCTCCCCTTTGATTAGAAATTTTAGCATCTGGAACATTTCCGCAATTGATCATCTTCCTAGAATAGCCACAACAGAAAAGTTTTGACATTCAAAGATAAGCACATAGATGAAATCATTTTTATGATTGTGTCGAACACATTTTAAATATAGTTGCCGCCTCTTCAAAAAATTCAGCTCAAGATTCCTAAACCACACAACATTCTCTGCAACTACTTTTAAAAGAGATTCACTTCTGACCACTCTATCATCACCGTGTTCTCTGTGCAAACTAGCAACTATAAGAGAGGTACAAGACTTTGAAACCTGGAGGTAGTTTGCTGTCAGGACCATACAAAACCAATAACTATCCATTGGTACATATATATTTGGTGCTTGCTTCTTCTTGCCATCATTAATCCTCACTAGCTCTTGTGTCCCAACAATTGAAGCATGGACAATTAAGCAGATATATTTGGATACCTTTGAAACAATATTAACATTCTCTGTTTGTAGTCCAATAGAAAGAAAAATGGGAGCGTATTTGGTGGTGCCTATCCAAATTTTGGAGCCAAAGGTAACATGAGCGAACAGTAGGAATTATGGAGCATAAAAATAATTTTCCCTAGTAATATCAAGACTTTTTTTGGTGTAAAAGGAACCCAAAAACAATTCTTATGACTTCTTTAGCTTTGAACCTTTGAGAGATCCAATGTACATAAACTAACTCTTCAATGGTGTATTTGATATGTATGACATGTAATCCAACAAAAACTTCAATTACAGCAGCAAACTCAAAACTCAGTACTAGCCACATTGTACTAAAGGCATCATCAATTGACATGCTCGAACAGTTAAAGCTAAAATTTCTAATCACACAAGAAACCAACCTGAATTTGCAGCATAATTCAACTGGCGACATCTTGAGCTTCATGAAAGATTTCAGATTTACCACAAGCAAGACACTTTGATATTGTTTTAAATCAAACTTGGTCAGTGCCAAATGATAGGAAGACATCACACGTTGAAAGTTTAATTTGTTTCCACTCCACAAAGGATCAATCAGAAGAACAAACGATTGTTGTCATTGATCCATACAAGCTGCCTCACAAGCCATTTGCAGAACAAGCTTAATAACCACCCTGTGGAGGCCTTTGGATGAATTAAAAGAAACACTTTCAGACTCATAACTTGTACATCTCTTAGTGAGGATATTCCAAACACATAAAAGGGACTTCCGCACTTGATCAAACACTTGGAAGGTAGATGGCCACAACCTGTAGGTAGCAATACAAGGATAGAATGAATGATATCATCGGAACGGCGACCCAATCAGGTGGTTCCGGCAGTGGAATTATTAAGAACAGAAAAAACAAGAGAAAAATAAACACCATTGTGAGAGACACACCACTTTTCCACCTAAAAACTTAAAGTGATAGGTGAGTGGATTCTCCAACTTATATATACTTAAGTCTCCATATTCCTATTCAATGTGGGACTTTTTTCCCACTTACTCATATTTACTATATTATTCCAACAAAAGGTTCATCATATAACAAACATAAACTCATTTCCATCTTCTCTTCCACTTCCATAACACCCAAAGTTTTCACTAGTTTGTATTTAGAAGCCATCTTGCGCGCCAAATCGAAGGCTTTATATATCAATTTGTTGAATGTTCATTGATTCCTCTCATACTCTGCCTTTAAATATAACTGTCAAGGCTAAAAGAGTAAAATACATAAAACAAACTCCTATTTAAAATAAACTTATAGTAATTCCTGTAACAACCCAATAATAATTTGTATAGCGACAATGTAAATCATAATAAAATATAGTTGAAGACACAATTTTTTAGGAATTCTCACTATTGGAAGGACATAAGGTTGAACCTGATTTTTTTTTGTCACAACCTGAATATTGTTTTAAAACTCTTAAAAAATTAAATACTTTTTCAAACTTTAATAAAAATTATTTTGAGTCTATTATAACTCCTTATAGATCTATTGGCTAAATTCAACCAACATCTGATATCAAGAGTTTGGTCTTGTGATCCCATCCTCAAAAGTCGAATACGGGGCAAAATGATCTGAGTGTGCTTATAATAGAGCTCTTGCTTTTATTGGAAAAACTAGACTTGAAGGATTGTATAATTGTATACATTGTGTCTGTTGACATGCAAATTTTTCACTGTTTAAAACATTGATTTTGCTCCAAAAATGATTGTTGACAACACCATAAGAAATAAGTCTGTCAATGATTGGAGTGATAATAAAATAAAGAAAGTCTCTTGACTATTTGAAAGCGAAAAACATACTCATATCTTCTTTGAGCTCTGATGAGTATCTCTCAGTTTCACATTGTAATGTAAGACCTCAAAACAATCTAAGATCAATACCTTAACATATAGAAGTATGAATTGTTTCTCATGGAGCTATAGGAAATTGTTTCCTCCATGCAAATGAGACGCAAATGAGACGAACACATTATTGACAAATTGGAGTGTCTAGATTAGACTATATCAAAAAAATTCTATTCTAATAATATTTTTAGATCCATGTGTATGAAGTGATAGCTCAATGGAACAACTGTTAATTGGTTAATTCTTGTTAGTTGCTATTTGGGCTTTAGTTTGTATTTGGGCCTGAGCTTGGTGCCTATATAAAGGGTCATTACTTTGTAATCCATATATACTGCAGCATCAAAATAACAGATTCAGTTTTAAAGAGTTAGTTACACTAACTAACTCAACAATCTCTTCTTCTTCTTCTTCTTCTTCTTCTTCTTCTTCTTCTTCTTCTTGTTTTTCACTACATTCATCTTTCTTGAATCCTTTATTCCAACAAATTGATATCAAGAGCTTCTTTGCGATCAGAGAGAATCTAATGGCAAACGGATCAACAACCTCAACACAATTTCCAGCAAATCTTTCGGTTTTCAAAGGTGAAAACTATCAAAGATGGGTGGCACAAATGAAAGTTATTTTCAGATTTCAAGATGTTGTAGA